GACTGAAGAATGTGAGGTTAGGAATTACAAATTTTCCAAGCAGCGAAATATTTTTTTTTCCAACAGCCGCAATTAATAATTATTTTTAACGTTTCTGCTTAAGAGAGAATGAACTTACATTTTTATGTCTTATAAGGAAGATCACCTTACTGTACCCCCACAACCTGGGTTGAAAAAACGATATTTTGTAGTTCACATCGAAGTATAAATCCTCACACAAATGGGGTGCCCACTTGCGTATTAAAGGGGTGAAATTAATTCCTGAAAATCGGTGGTTTTTTCGTTTTGCGCTGATATTTTCGAAACTAAAATAGATACGGCAAAAGTTTAAATAGCAAACTTATTCATTTTTCAGTGCTCTGCAATAATATGTAGTTGAAAATTATATAGAAATTGTTTATTTATTTTATTTTCATAAAAAACGTGTTATTTTATACATTTTCCTCTATTTTGTCACAATAATCTTAATTATTTCGACTCAAAATTCAATTATATCAATCTACATTTGTTTGTCCCGTCTCAAGAACTCATTAAACAGGAGAGTTATTTTTTCCAAACGCAAAACAGTGGTTAATCGAAATCTATTTTCCGAATATTGGCGACAACATTGGACTCTTAATCGACTTCTGGAGTGGACACTGTCCAGAAGTAGTTAATATAGTAACTCCTCCTATCAAAAAAATTGTATTTGAAATTATTCCAAAAGGAACAACAGGACAAATACAACCATTAGATGTGTTTGGTTTTCGAATATGGAAAAATGTTGTTAGGCATTTTTCAGATGTAGTAATTCTTTCCGGTAGCGATGTAAATCTGCATTTAAGAAATAACATCATCGAACTGCAGTCACTTGTTCACAATCAACTTTCTTCCCCACGTTATGTTAATATATTTAAATATGCATGGTACAAAAGTGGCTACACAGAAAAAGCACCCCCTGAGTTCATTAATCCGGTGACGTTTGGTTTGGAGATAATTCGGAACCACGATGTCACATTTGTGGTGATTTAGCTGTTATAACATGTTCGTGGTGCAAAAAACCTTTGTGTCTCATACACTTCTTTGAGGAATATCATTATTGTAATGAATATATTCCATAATATGAAAGTGAAAAAACTGATAAGTGTATGGCCTGCTTTTTCCTCCTGCTTTCATGAGTACTAGACATCTCAATAGATCTAATACATCAATTAAAGGCTTCTAGTAAATAAAATGAAGACATGTATATTAAATAAAGTTTTATATAGAATGGAAAATTGAAAAATCATTGAATTTTGAGTCGAAACAATTAATTTTATTATGACAAAATAGAGGAAAAGATATATAATAACACGTTTTTTATGAAAATAAAATAAATAAACAATTTCTATATAATTTTTAACATATTATTATACATATTACAATATATTTTTATACGTATTATTGCAGAGCACTGAAAAATGAATAAGTTTGCTATTTAAACTTTTGCCGTATCTATTTTAGTTTCCAAAATATCAGCGAAAAACGAAAAATCCACCGATTTTCAGGAATTAATTTCACCCCTTTAATACGCAAGTGGGCACCCCATTTGTGTGAGGATTTATACTTTGATGTGAACTACAAAATATTATTTCTGCAACCCAGGTTCCGGGGGTACAGTAAGGTGACCTTCCTTGTTAGTATAACACATGGACAACAGCTGGAAGCGAGGAAACTTTGCACCCAAAAATGTCCTTCTAAAAAGCAATGTCACTCAATTGATGGCACCCACTTGAAGTCTTCCGAGAAAAAGACTTTACCTACGGAGCCCGATTTTTGAATCATTGCTTAGAAAATATGTATTGTTATGCCTCACGATAGGATTCGTTGTATAGTTAATCTTTAGACGCAAAGTCAGCATTAGACGAATGCTGACCCTATGCATAAGGCGTTAAGATAAAACCGATGAGAGACACCTTGTGAGCCACAGCGATTATTCGCAAAGTTCCTAGCTAAGAGTGAAGTCCTGGAGCGTTATTCATAGTTGTGAATAATAAGTATCATTGTGCCTACTCCCATTAGATTTGTGTGACCTTAGTGTTTACATTATACCAACTTCAATAAACTACAATAGGTCTCTATATAATTCCAAATCGGTGCAATTATTTATTTGTGATCCTAAAGAACTCATGACGGCATAACAAACTTGGTGGCAGCGGTGGAGAATCATCGACACCGGAATATACAGAAGAACGAATATGAAGTCCTCCAGCACTTTGTTCGGGTGAGTGAGAAATTTCTTTTCTCATGCCGTTAGACAATACGTTTTCTACGTACCGAACTACGAACGAAAATTGCGAGTCCTTGTCAGATCATTCGACTGACGAGTCAATAACGGAAATTTTAAAGAATCTAAAAATGTCTGACGAAAACAGTGCACTACTTCAAACCATTCGTCTCCAACTTGAACATATAGCACAAAGATTAGACGCATTAGAAAAGAAGAAATTGCATCCTTAACATTCGTTGTTGATGGCTCAGTATTCGGAGAAGTCACAAGTGACTAAGAAGAAATTGCTGCCCCCTCAACATTCGTTGTTGACGGCTCAATGTTAGAAGAAGTCACAAGTGACTAACAAGGAAACCCCCCCAACCCGACCCCACCGATTTCAATAATTTTTTGATATGTTGTAGTATTCGACAAAATAAGAGACACGTATTTTTTTTGTGTGCTGACATCCACTTTAAAGGGGTGAAAACGACCCTTGAAATTCACCCCCGAAAATCGTTTTTTCATCATATCTCGACTTCTAATTAATATTTTTTAATAAAACCAAGTGGAAAATATTTGTCATAAGAAGTCGAAGATATGAGGTGTGTTTATGACCCAAGGGGTTACAACCCTTATTTTATATTTTGAAAAAACTATATTTTTTATGCTCTTTTTCTGCATAAAAACCGGGGTATGCGCTCAAAAAAATAAAGAAAAGCGTTTCCGTTAACTCCATCAAATATTTCAATTTGGGTGTTTCAGGATATAAACACCTCATATCTTCGACTTCTTATGACAAATATTTTCCATTTGGTTTTATTAAAAAATATCAATTAGAATCTGACATATGATAAAAAACAATTTTCGGGGGTAAAATTTAGGGGTGGTTTTTATCCCTTTGAAAAATCCTGAAACACCCCAACTGAAATATTTGATGGAGTTAACGGAAACGCTTTTCTTTATTTTTTCGAGCCCATACCCCGGTTTTTATGCAGAAAAAAAGCATAAAAAATATAGTTTTTTCAAAATATAAAATAAGGGTTGCAACCCCTTGGGTCATAAACACACCTCATATCTTAGACTTCTTATGACAAATATTTTCCACTTGGTTTTATTAAAAAATATCAATTAGAATCTGACATATGATAAAAAACAATTTTCGGGGGTAAAATTTAGGGGTGGTTTTTATCCCTTTGAAAAATCCTGAAACACCCCAACTGAAATATTTGATGGAGTTAACGGAAACGCTTTTCTTTATTTTTTCGAGCCCATACCCCGGTTTTTATGCAGAAAAAAAGCATAAAAAATATAGTTGTTTCAAAATATAAAATAAGGGTTGCAACCCCTTGGGTCATAAACACACCTCATATCTTCGAATTCTTATGACAAATATTTTCCACTTGGTTTTATTAAAAAATATTAACTAGAAGTCGAGATATGATGAAAAAACGATTTTCGGGGGTCAATTTCAGGGGTCGTTTTCACCCCTTTAAAGTGGATGTCAGCACAAAAAAAAAATACGTGTCTCTTATTTTGTCGAGTACTACAACATATCAAAAAATTATTGAAATCGGTGGGGTCGGGTTGGGGGGGTTTCCTTGTAAGAAGAAATTGCTGCCCCCTTAGCATTCGCTGCTGACGGCTCAGCATTAGAAGATGTCGCAGACCACCACGAGAAAGTTGCTGGTCTCGCGATACGAGAAGAAACTTGTCAAAGAACTAGAATAAGCATTGCGAGTTGCCAGAAGAACACTGCCAACTCCTCAGTGCAAGAGGAATCACGTTGTGCAAAGATTGCAAAACAATTGTTCACAACGAACGAACACATTCCGGAAGGAAGTATAGACGTATCCTTCGTTAGTGAGAACGTTCAGGATACACTATTAGTCTATTCTGATGAAGACCGAGAGGAATTCCACGTTACGATAGCACTGGCGGACGATGAAAATATCGAAAGCATGAGGCAGAAGATCACCGAGTTAAAGTATCTCAGTGTTGCTGAAGAATTTCAGGAGATCCATATGGATTACGACGCTTGTGTCAAACTCAGTGGACTTCAATGCCGCGAAATTATAAAAATTTGGAGAGAAGAATTCTGCCGAAGCAACACCACAGTGTATCTTCATGAAAAGAGCAGAAAGATACCATCTGCAGAGGAGAAGAAATTGATTTTAAAAGAAAATCATGATTCGGTCACTGGAGGTCATGGAGGTATCAAGAAGACATATTATCGAATCAGTCAAAATTACTTTTGGAAGAACTTAAGAAGAGATGTCGAAAATTATGTAAAAGAATGCATGGTCTGTCAGAGAAACACGGCTAATAGAAGACCTACCAGGATGCCGCTAGTCTTTACTGACACACCTACTAGATTCAATGAAAAGATTAGCATGGACATTTGCGGACCTTTCCTAATAACAAAGAATAGGAATTAATACGTTCTTACGATACAAGATGGTTTGACAAAGTACTTCTTAGCAATTCCATTGAAAGACTTTAGAACCGAGACTGTCATTGCAAATTTTTTGAGACATTATATAAGTTACTTTGGACTTCCCAAAAATATCCTCACGGATAGGGGAAGTAACTTCACTAGATCCATGATGAAAAGTTTTGAAAAACAATTTGGAATCCGGCCATACTAACTACCAGCTTTCATATCCATATCCAAAATCATATCCTAAAATTGTCATTGAAACGTACAGATAATCTCGTTGAAGACTACACTAAAAAATTAGCTCAATTAAATGAGAATTTCAGGATCACGCAAATGAATCTTGATTGGGTACTAGAACGCGAAAATAAACTAGAAAACGAAAATCTTATCACGGAAGTATGTTTAGAAACCGAAGTTGCGATTGCCGAATATGATAGGAATGTCGAGATACTATTAAATGCCTTGGTTTTAGCAAAAAGCAGACAGATTGACCCTAGAATTGTCTCCCGAATCGTTAATGTCCATTTTAGAAGCTATAAAACGCAAAAGAGGTCCACACGAACTCCCTATTCCAATCAGTGAAGACAACTACTTCAGATACTTAGCAGTAAGTGATATAAACATTGGCGTTATTAGACGTAAGTTAGTGTATAAGTTGAATATCGCCATACTAGAGTTGAATAACTATGAAGCTTATAGAATCATACCTGCACCTCAATTAGTGAAAGAAAACACATTTCTTTATACCAGTGCGCCACATGACTATATTATAACTAATGATGAAAAACTGCTATACACGCCTAGTGACGAAGCATACCTCAAGACTTGTAAGTCCTATGGGACCATCCGCTTTTGTAAAAGGGCATATTCGAAGTATCGCATTAGTGGATATGACAATTGCTTAAGTAAAATTATTAGCGAACCCAAACAATTAAAAAAGGACGATTGTGACCCGAAGGTCATTGGCGCTAAAGACACTATTTGGATTCAACTCAAAGATAACCAACGTTGGTTATATGCCGCCCCCAAGCCAGAAACTTTGAGGATATTATGTGAAACTCGAGTCACAGAAGCAACAATCTCCGGAACGCAATTATTATGGATTAAACCGGGATGTACCGGGACGTCTAACAATGTAATCCTGCATTCCCAACTGGACATAGAATTTAGTAGTTCCAAAAGCTACAGTCCGTTGATAAGTTATAACTTTAGTGACGAATACTGGAAAATCAACAACATTACAGATAGTACGATATTTGAGAAAATTCACTTTTTGGAAAGTCCCGATTGACTATAGCCGATTGAATGACCCGATCGACATACAGCCGATTGACTTAAGCAGATTGGGGAGCCGACTGGATGATATCGAGGCAGAAGCCGTTAGAATCGGAAATCCTAGACGCAACCTGACTTTGACAAAAACCATATGGTTCTGGTTGACGTACGTCGGATATGCAATAATAGTCTTAATAATAATATATGTGATTTTAAAATGTCGTCTATGGCGTGTGTTAACATTATGCGCAAACGTCAAGCCATGCGACCAATATTTTGTGAATTGCTTCAACTCCGGCGGACAAAACACTATAACTACAAATCCAATACCTAGGCAAGTGGTCTTTGCGAACGACCCAGAAAAAAAAAAATTTCTCACTTACTTTTCGTATGGAACAATTTTCATCTCGATTTTGAAATGAAAAAATTTAAATCGTTAAACTATTGGGACTCACCCCCACCCCTAATTAATCCACCCCACAAAGACTCACTATAGCGCATCTATTACTACTCCGATATATATACAATTTTTTTGGTGCAGATAGATAGCGAGACCCAAACGCAATCATTCATAACAATCAAATCTCTAGCATGCTAAAGAGTAATCTGGGAAGTATTGAATTATCAGGATATTTCTCGGTGTACCAAATGCCAAGGAGTCGGTCATTCATATAGTAACTGTTATCTAGGATATAGATGTGTGAAATGTAAAGAAAACCATGAGTCTGGTCAGTATAAAGTGCCCAAATTGACTACAAATAAGGGAAACCTAATACTGTGTCAATTGTGAGGAATATTCTGAGTGATATATTGAGTTGCCCATTCTCAATGTTTGCAAGAAAAATTAAAAGTTCGGCAAAAGAAGAAACTAAGAATCAAACTGCTCGAATGGTTAAAATAAACTTGGTTATTGATGAACTAGATAGAGGAGAAATACCTAATCGTCGCAATAGAGAAGATCTTCAGCACCAAATAGACCGCCGAAAACACCTCAAAATAACCGTATGCAACAATACAGGACCGATTCATCGCCGTCCGAAGAAAATGCACGGAACAGCAATATCTCTAGTAGCACACGTCTTTTTTCATACGACAGGAATAATAAAACCCCTAAAGTAAGCATAAACGAAATATTAAATTAAATCAAACAACAAATCATGAAATCCATAACATCACAGTTCAATAATTATTACGCATTAATTAGTAATAACTTCGAAAGAATTGCTAGAATATACAATGCGTTAGGAATCAAAAGAAAAAACCATTCGTCACTTAAATCATTAAAGGTAGCATCGATCAATGTAAACTCTCTCATCTCCCTTAATAAGTGATACGACCTATTTGATTATGTTCCTGAAAATAATATCGATGTGGCACTCATATGTGAGATGAAACTTAGTCACCGATACAAACTACATATCTCTGAATATAATCTAATTAGGACTAATAGGAAATTGAGTGTTAAAGGAAGTGATACTGCAATAATGATCAGAAGAGACATACGATACTAACAGATCTATTTACCGTTTTCATGGATAATATACCTAAATAGGATTGTGCCCTCCCTGCTCACCTATCTTCTCAAATGCGAACTCTGTCTTTGGTCTGCGTAGCTTAATAATAGAATAGAGATTACGGACACTATCAATAACAAAATTAAAATTTTAGATTATAATAGTGATCACAAAGCCCTAGTACTAACAACTACGGGAACAATTGATAATCGTATCTGTTCATCCTACCGGTTTACGTATAAAAAAAATCAAATTGAAACATTGAAATATATATATATATACTAGCCGACCAGGCGAACGTTGTTCTGCCATATAAATTATTTCTAGTGAATATTTTGGTTGTTAAATAGAAAATAACGAATGTATTGTAAGTGTGTGGGGATGGGATCTCTGACAAAAAGAGGAATTGAGCGCTGTAGACGATGACCGCCGATAAAAACAAAAACACACCAACCATTCATTTTCTCAATTCAATATATGTCATTAACGTAACGGACATATTCATTGTTTGATCTCTTAAAAGTTAAATGTAAAGTGAAAAAAAGTAATATTTTTTATCGTAAAGTATAAAAATGAAATAAAGAAAATCAATATTAATTTCGAAGAGCAATTGAATGTACGATATTTTTTGTCAGTCCGTGTTTAGCCAACACAAATAAGCTCGATGGTTTGCCCACGCGAGAACATGCCACGTATAATTGTCCGTGGGAAAAACATAGTGTGCCCAAATGTGTGCCCATGACGTAGATTTGTAAAAATGTATGTGGTTCGTTTGGCATTGGCAGCCATGAGCCTAATTTGTGGTACACTTGGCCTTTCATTTTGAATGTTGAATTGTATTGTTGACCACTTGCTGCAGTATTGTGAACTATTTCTGTTGCTCCGAACGAAGTCATTTGGAAGCATGAATTGAATGTGGTAATGGACTTCAGGAACAGGTTTTAATCTGGATCCGTGCCGATGAGCAAGCCGTTCAATGGTTCTGGTGGTGTCTCAATTTCTGGTAGTTGCACTTTTCCTGAAGCGCAACATATCCCGGCTGACTCAAGTTTGAATTTGAGCGCATGACAATGGAAGTAGTATAAGTTGGAGAGTTCTGGACCAGGAGACCTGTAACCGACATATACCGACACTCCAGAACCTTCGAAGGTGGGTGTCCGTGCTAAGTTGCCGTCGTGAGCTCTACGATTTCCGGAAGTGACGTCACCAAGACCCCT